TTAAACATCCTCCATAGAAGTATGGTCTAATCAATTTTGCAACCTCATATGCAAATTGCCTCATTTTATTTGTTCCTATACATACCTGAATACCAAGCCCTTTTGATTGTCTCTTCATGGAATGAGAAGGCTAGCTTGGCCCCTAAAAGAAAAAAGGTATGATGTTTGGGTGTATTTTCTAGAGTAAAATCAAGGGTTCTCATTTTATGAGGGTTCAATCTTGTCACTAGCACATAGGTCATAACCTTGATTCTCAATAGAGCTTTTAATTCAAATGATATTTACAAAACTACAAGAATAAAATTATCTCATTGATCATAACCTCAGAAGGTACTATGTTATTTAAAACATTGAAATCTCAAGTGACTTACAAACTCCAAAATAAAGGAAGAAATAAAGAAAAATGAGTTCAAATAAGATGAAATGCCATTTTCATGCAAGTGTAAAAAGCTTCATGGTCGATGCAATGACTTCTTGATCCAGATCAGAATGCCTTATCATTTATTGAATTTTCATGCCCCTAAATCAATCAAATTATGGATCATGCATTTTCTTGCCCCACAATCCGTGGAAATTATGTGATTAGGATCACTGAACTGAAGTTCTTCACCAATCAACTCCATGTTTTCATGACTGATACATATGAAAATGCTTAAATAAATGCAAGTATAAAATGCATAGATGCAAATGAGAATGCAATGCAAAAAGATACTATCCTAAAGATGAATATCAGAGAACAAGTTTCATTAGATATAAAAGTCTTCATTTTTACAAGATAGTTCGGACATGTTTTTTCTTGGATGATAGATCTGCACTGAGTCAATACTTCGTATCGTAGCTTCTTCCTTGAAAAGTATGCCCCTCAAGTGCTCTATAACCCCTTTGGCTTGTGTAAAAACTTCATTCAAAATTATGTCCCATCTCTTATGATGCCCTTGTAGCGTTGGAGTTACGCCTTATGTCTTGGTGATTAAAGGTTGAATGGTTGTATATAAGAATCTACTACTGCATTATTTCTTAGATCAATGGATTATCTTTCAAGCCTTGGATTTTTTCATATCAGTCAACCTTGTGCGTAATCTTCATGCGAGCTTCCCATTTGTTCTCTCTAAGCTTCCCTTAACGATCGGCGCATGTCTGTGTATGCAACTACTTGATTGATAAACTTTTTATCTCTATTTATGAAAATTTTCTAGTTAAAGAGTCATCTGCGGATCAACACTTTCATGTTATTCTATGATGATGATGCAATGCAAAAAGGTGAGAAATGACACACACAAAAAAAGGAAAAAGAAAAAAAATGAGTTAGTACAAGTGAAATAATTGAAAAAATGATATTTAAAGATAAATAAAACACCTACCCAATCATGGTATCTATATGAGCATGTTTTTATTAAAATAACAATCCTACCTGGACATGTTTTCTACCCAACATGGTTTATTTTATGAAGTAAATCCTAACCGCATGGTATCTAGTTCGCATGCTTTTATTCAAAAAAATTATTCTATGAATTTAAAGAAAAGGTAAAGGTTTAAGGTCGTTCCTATTTTTTGTATACCTATTGAGGTACCTACTAACGGAAAGTGGTTCAACCTGGTTCTACCTAGGGTAAACATCATATTGTTCACTATATGCATGGTTTTGGCTCTACGGTGAAAAGGTACTCGAATTGTCCTTGTTGTTGGTGCCACCTTGGGCTACCAAACCCTCAATCCTCATCCATTATAGACTAAATTGGATCAAGTTCAATTCGAGGGAGTCCATTCCTTATGTCTAACACAGATGGCTGCTCACGAAGATCATAAGAGATGTACTCCGGGAGTGATTCACTAGCATGTACGGAGAGCTACTCACGAAAGGCACTAGCAATTCACTCCCACTTAATGGAAAAAAGCTCGGGTATAGAGCTTATGACATGCAAATACGCATGTTGTGTGTGTGAGGAGGAACTCACAAAACTTTCGACAAAGAGAAAAATAAAGACTCATTTTCAAAAATCTTAACAAGTCTGAAAACAATGAAATCAAAATATCAGCACAACTATTTACAAGAGTAAAAAATGACGCATTATTATGAAAATTGAAATTAAAAGGATCTTAATTCAAGTAAAGGTTCAAGTTTATAAACTTCCAACCACTAGGGACAACGTGTAATCGAGTAAGGCCTGACTCTCAAAATATTCCCTTGAGTCGCCAAGCTGTCATAACCATTTTTAGTGAAAATTAAATTTAAAAATAATTATGACTTTATTTTGGAAAATTGAGATTTTTGATAAATTTGAAATTTAATTTGAATTTGAGTCGCCATCGACCTTTGGGTTAGTTAGGTCGAATACCTAAATATGTCTTTTAAAATAATTTTAAGGAAAATCATTTTAAAAACAAAAATTGGTCTGCATTTACCAAATATTCATTTTTAAAGATTCAGGAGTCGATTATGCGTGGGAAATGATAAGTACCCCTGCAACGCCCATAATTGGCACCTTCAATTTGTTGTCTAAAATGGTGAAATTTTACAAATTTGAATTCAAAATTTAAATTACGATCCTTTTATTTCTATGAATTTAAAAAATGAGTGAATCTATTTTTTTAATAATTGACTCGATGAAAATGATTTAATTCACTCGATTTTATTTGAAAAAATGTTCCTTACTACGTGAATTAATAGAAACTGAAATCCAATCATGTTGGACGTAATTTCACTAACCCTAACCCATGACGCAAGACAACATTGCTTTTAATTATTTTAGAAAATGAGAAAACAAATGCATAATTTATGAATGCAACAGTAATAAATGATATATACAAAAAAGAATGAAATATTAAATATAATATGACATATAAAATAAATGAATGAATAAAACGATACACAAAATAATTATAATTATTAATATAGAAAGTGATGGTATATCTTTCACTCGTGCTTCTTAAGAAATCGTACTCCAGATATTTAGAGGTTTTCCAACGAATCACTCTTCATTCGAGATATCCCAAAATAGATATAATTTAATTTTTATTAAAATGTCTCTAATATAAAATTATAAGTGTTAAAAATGAAAATATATACATATGCATATATAAGGGTCAAAATATATTAGGCAAATACATTTAGATTAAAAAATAGAATGGTGAAAAGAACTACATCGACTAAATATAAAACACTTCAAACAGAGAACTCTAAATCATAATATTAATAGTTTCATGGACAAAAATTAAATAAACAGTTACAATAGTGGCAAAAAATGTAAGGATTGAATTGAGTGAAACTAAAGTAACATGCATTAAATATGTAAATAATCCATAAAAATTAAGGCAGTGACCAAAATGATACACGCGTAAAGTTTAAAGGCCATATTAAAAGAAATGAGAATTTTAATTAGTGACTAACAAGAAAAGCTTACAAAATTCGGATGGCACGTTGAGCGATTATACCCACGTGAGGATTCATAAATCCTAATCCCAAAATGACATCGTTTTGGAGCCCTTTTAGCCTATTTTTTTCATTTTCTCATATTTTCTTTTCTTTTAGAGAGAGAAGCTCTTTTTTCTCTCTAAACTAAACACAGTCGGTGAGACCTCACCGCCGGACACTGCCGGCGCCAGAGAAAGGTGATAAAGGCATTGTTCGAAAGCTCTTCAATCACTGAAGATGGATCCGACCTTCGATTAGCCTAAAAATGCCTTTAGTGCCGTGGATTTAAGAAAATCATTTCGATTTCTTCGATTTTCGATGACCTTCTAGCTCTTCGATGGTCGTCGAACCAGATAAACCTTCTTTCTATTGATCTCTTGGCTTCCTTTTTCCCCTAGAACTAGTTTTCTTTGGTTTCGATTCTCTCTATCTCTTTCTCTTTGCTCTCGTTTTTTTCTTTGGATCTAACCTTCTTGTTTCACGTTTCTTCTCTCCCCGTTCGGCTCCCTCTCTAACCCGATTCTCCTCTCTTAAACTAATTTTCTTTGTTGCTGCTCCGTTTTTAATCTGTTGCTTGCTTGGATTGATTTGGTTAGGGGTAGGGATTATGATGGATATGGGGGTTTATTGAGATAGGTATATTTTTTGTTATATTAGATTTTGTTTGTTTTCACTATTTTGGGACAGATTTGATTCAGTGAGGTGACTGAATGACAGTGACAGGTTCCGATTGACAGTGACGGCGGCAGAAACTAGGTCTAGGATTTTGGGTTTGTTTGGGCTAGGTGGGCTGGTTTGTATTGGGCTCTGGGTCTTGTAATTGGGCCGAATCTATTGTAATTTGGCTCAATTTGGGATTGTAATGGCTTGTAATAAAACAAAATAATATTAATACGAATAATAATAATAATATAATAAATAAAAATAATAATAAATAATGAAAAATAAACCCAGACAAAAACGGGTGTGAACACCTTATTTTTCCTTGACTATTTAAAGTTAAATTTACACTTTACCCATCAAATTCTTCATTTAACACAATTTTAGTCCTTAAACAACTTTCAAGGCAAATCATCATAAAAGAATTTATCACCATCAAACATTATAAAAAAATCTAAATGGATTTCGAGTTATTACAATTTTACTGGCAAACCATACATACACTCTTGTTACTTTATTCATTTTTTTAAAAAAATTTTAAAGGTTCTTAGAAAAGTATAGACATTAATTTGTATGCTTTAGGGAAAAAATGAGCAAGGGTTTTAAAGATTCAGGGTAAACAACAACAGAGGATCAAGTAAATTTTATGGTCCAGTAGTTGACAAGAGTGAGGAAGCATACAGTATCCTAGCTCCGGGTGCACTTGAAACAAGAAATCGAATAATTTGAGTCGCAAATCAAGTTCTTTAAAAGAAAATTAATCTTAGTATTAAAAAAAACCCCAACTTGGACAGGATTAATCAATCTTAGTGGAGCAAGCTTTTGTGCATTCCGTGTTTACCTTAAATCAAGCTTGAAATTTAAAAACAAAACTTGATTAAACCCGAGCTAAACTTCAAGCTCTTAGCTCCATCTTCTTACAACTTCAGCTTCAACTGAATTCAATTACACCTCTATTCAAGCATACTTAAAAAAGCTCAGCTTCGAAGCATGGGGTCAAAATAAACAACTTGCTTACTTCATTTTCCCACTCCAACGTGTGGTTTAAGGCTATCGGAATGAAGTGGCCAACAAATATACACACCAGCCTATCATCCCTCTTGCTTTCACTAATTCCAATTTGTTAGCATCAGTTCCAAACTTCATCCTCTTTCTCCAAGAGTAACTCATCTGCACGTGTTGTGCTTTATTTATCATAAGCTTGAAGAACAAGTCAAAGTTGATTTTTTTTTCACTCAAAAACATTTGATAACCTGCCAAACAAGCCCAGGGTACAATAATCAGTTAATCACAATAAATACATTCATTTTTCCCAAATATTGACTCCTAAACTAATTTATACCTATCTTAATTAAATAAAACATGTCCTAATACCTCCACAAGCTAAACCCCGTCAACTCGACCCATAATGCCTCCATGACACAGGATGCGCAACATTATTGATCTCTTTGGGGAAAAAAAAAAGAAGAATAACAAAGAACTTCCCTAGTACGATCGAACAAATAGAAACAAGATGCAGAAAACAAAAGCTGAACTTGTAACATGGTCCCTATATTGCTCTGACTCTTCAAGTATCCATGTCAGACACATGGATATAGGGATATAAACTCTATACATCTTCCAAATAGTTAAAAAAACATTAGAATTTTTTTATCATATACATACTGTGCATAGACTTGTATCCGGCAATCGCACCAGTCCAAATAACATAACAATGGCTAAATTCTACAGATCTAATTCTCAAAAGAAAAAGTTCAACAAGTCTAATCCAGCTTATGTCTTTACTGCAAAACTTCTACCAACCAAAATTACAACTCCATAACTGCGTTCATGATGAGTTTTACATCAATATCTTATGTTACTCCAACTCTCTATTTGTCTTTTAAAGTACGTATGTCGACACCTGTGTCCAATGAATATTGGATCATGTACGGAGCTATGAACCTTCAACTAAACAAAAAATAAAATAAAATTGACGACTATTTGAAGAGAAGAAGTTGTAATCAGTCGCAAAGAAAATAAAAAACTTGTTTGATACTCACTTTGAAACCTTTTTTTTATATATTTTTGATACAAATGGAGGTTGAAGGAGACTTGTAAATGTCTTGATTGTATTATCATCTTCCTTTCGTAGTCAATAGTAATTAAATGGAAGAGGTACCTTATAAATCTTGGAAACCAATGGAAACGTTTCTTGGATCATATTAATGCTTCCATCCCTTTAAGTGACCATCATCCATGTATGGTTCTAGAAATCCAATGAACTGAAACAAGAGAAACTTAGATGGTCAAAACCCAGCAATGGAAAGCAAAATGTTAAAACTATAAAATTTAGGAGGATGAATATTACAGTGATAGTATTCAAGCAGAACAAAATTTATATCTTCCAAAGGAATGGAATCAATTTTCCTTAGCAATATGTTGTGTTACTCCGACACATACTTGTAGGGTTAAGCAAAAAACCAACAAAACCCAATACCAATTCAAATCATAGTGTTAGGTTTAGTTTTATTAAATTCGGATCAATCTCAATTTTGAATATCTACTTTAACTTTATTTGGTTCGGTGCAGTTTTCAGTTGACAAAGTTAAAAAACTGAATATCCAAACATAAACAAATTCTATTTTTCATAATTTATAATTAGTTTTTATTTTTAGAAAAAATGTAAAAATAAAAAAGCATTTTTTAAAAAATTTGAAAGAAACAAGCGAACCAAACCAATCTAAACAGGTAGAATTCAGCTTGGATCAGTTTGGTAAACTTTCATACTTGGTTCTGTTTCTGTTCATTTTTTTAGAAAAAAAGATCATAATACTCGAATATTAGCTGCAATTTTCCCCAAATCCATCTGAACCAAACTACATATTTGGACATAAGTATGGACAGGGGCAGAACTAGGATAGAACATTAAGCTGTGGGGGGAATTGCCAAACTGTGAAATTGACAGGGACCTAAGAAGTATTTAAATCAAACAAAATGGAGGTTAGGGCTTATTTTGTTTAATTTCAAAATTTACAGCGGCACAATAAGTATTTAAAGCAAAAAAATAGGGAGCCAAGGCTTAACTTGACTACTTTCAAAACAGACAAGGACCTAAGAAATAATTAAATCAGAAAATTTGGGAGGGGTGCTAGAGCCCCTCCCACTGCCTTAGTAGTTCCGTCCCCGAGTATGGGGTAAGCTCTTCAAATCATATCCAGCACTTAACCCCCAAGTCCAACCAACAAAGCCAATGTGTACAGCCGACTAACATCAATACAATGGATCCCCAATCCATATATGTACAGATGCATAAGTTGCTTATGACAATAATGTTTACCTTAGATCCATCCTTTGACCAGCGTGCACCGTAACCTTCAGCAACCCTTATCTCAAAGACATCACCATGTGGTTGAACAGTATACACATTCAACCAGCAAGAATTAGTGATTAAATTCAAAATGTCGCCCATTGCAAGATTATTTTTATTAGAATCTGGAGAAAATGAGATGGAATTGGAATGGTAATGATTAGATGCTCAATCACATAAGAAAATAAATCATTTATGAGCATTAGTCCCTCGTATGCAAGTCACTACAAATTAGCCTCATCAATTATGTGAATTTAAATAACTTTGCTTCTTCGACGTGCCTAATGTTTGTTTTTCATTTTCTTTTTGATTCTTCATTATGTTGGGTTATCATTTCAAAATTCAATCTCATTATGAGACTAAATTCCTAATATAATAAGATCAACTATTTTGTTACACACTCAACTAGTTTGCAAGAGACCTCATTAACATTTGCAATGCAACCCCAAAATAAAGCTCAGAATTTTGTTCTTCCATACACTAGAGCAACCCAAATCACCCCCTCCCCCAACAAACATCAAATGAAGAAATTATGAAAATCTATACTTCAATGTTAAAGTCAATGTTATTGAACGATACACACACATAAAATAAAAAAGACCCTTTAAGCACCAAATAACTCACCACTTCCAATTAAATTACCCCAGTACTTACTGCTACTTCGATCAGCATGCTTAGCTAAAGCCCTCGCTCCTTGAGTCAAGGTACTGCCTTTGACCTAGATAACACAAAATTAAGTAGAACCATCATCAGTCATCAATATATTAATGGCAAGAATGTGACACATTCCTAGATTAATATGTGTTGCTTGACCAGGCCAAATACAAAGTCGAATCACTAACGAAGCAAAAAGGAATAAACAAACATATATTAATCTGGTAGTTCTTGCTCGTTTATGGTAGGAGAAAAATATGAATGAATTAGAGTTCTTTGCCCACGTGTGGTGTATGAAATGAGAAAATTACAAAAAACCTTGTTTCAGTGCACCACACAAACTATGGAAGTTCTTTGCATTTCAATGACAGAGACCCATTTTAAAAGAGAAAAGATAGCTTTCAATCAATAAATCCAAGCCTTATCTTTTCCTTATCTTTATTTATTTGTTTTGAATACTACAATCTACAAATCATGCATACTAATTGCAGCATGTTCAGTAGGGAAATAAAATAAAGTTTGGAAATCTTGGCATATAAATCATAAAAGCAATTCAAAAGCCATTAACTTACATCCGGATTATACGGCAACATAAATGAAGAAAGAAGTGTTGATTTTGGTGGGGGGAGTGCATCAGTAATTGTTCCAGTAGTATGTGCAAGACCCAGAAGGCCTTGAACACCTTCATAACTCAGTTTCTGGATTAAAACATTGAAAATTTAAACATTCACTTAGCTTATCATACAAAAATCTCCGAATCAGAAAAATGAATCAACTCACGGATAGTATGCTGGCCAACAAGATAGAGGGCTGAGCCACCAAATTTGAAACACAGATAGCAATGACGCCATTAGACCTTTCCTTCTCCTCAGTATAAAATTCCCTATATATTTGCATGCCTATAAGAGAATAAAACTTTTTCCATATAGGTGTTCGCAAATCATTTAGAAGCAAGAATACAACTGCCTACAATATTCCTTTCACAGCATATCCCACATTTACTAAATCAAACAACTAGAAAATAGTTCAAGCGTAAGCAAAGATAAGTCTCCAAAACCAGCCACACATAATGAACTTGGATTTTGAAGTCCTAAGACATGATGATCAATATAACTACACAAAAATCTATATGATTAATTAGAAAAAAGGTTGGAGGCCAAGTAGCACATGAAAGAATTCAAAGACCCAAAATTATTACATTGAATCATTTGGTAACAGTTCATTTTAATGGTTATTATTCAGTGAAATTAATCCTCATTCAGAATAATGTATTGGGTTCCCTCATTCCAGATACAGCAGCCAATTCTTATGACAAAGTAATCCATATTCTAACCATATGAAGAGAGATAATTCAGGGCCAATCATGGGTTAACTTCAATTGACATTACCTTCTTCAGTGGATTTAACTCCAGGAAGGACTTGGGAAATACTTTCAACATCTAACATCTCAGAAAATGTAGCATAACGACGAACATCCTGAAATTGTTAAAATTGTTAATGTCAAACAGAATATGAACATGTAATATAATGCATAAGCATTAGATTACCTGAACTTCGAGCACCAAACATTTATTCAAAAGGATCCTAGAACCTGGTTCAATACTAAAATAAATAAATAAATAAAAAGTTAATTAATTAATTAACAGTGCTTATGATGCTAGAATGGCGGCAGCTAAATTTATAAAACCTAAAATCTGCCCTATACATCAGCAAATTCATTTATTGTCTGACAGTAACGAAGGACCGTAAAATCAAATATAAAACAGTCATGAAAAGGAACCTGAACATACTTCTCAAATTTGCCAACTGCACACCTTCCTTCAATTGTCTTCAAGCCATCTTCAAAGAATGAAATTTTGATTGATTAGATAATTGCAAAGGAATCAGGGCATTGGCAAAGAATAAGAACAGCCAAAATTACCTCTTAACATTGAAAAAAAGGGCTCCTGAACATGAAGTTCAAAGTCTATGTTATTCATAATCTATCAATAAAACAAATTATTAGCCATACAACCTAAAGGGAAAAAAATTACAGCAGCATCAACAATGACAAACTAACATTTATCAGTTCATGTCCTTTAGTTGAAACTAAATTATTCCACTCTTCCTTCTGTTTAGCAGAAGTCTCATCACACATCAATGCTGAATTCCCTTGTCTGCTGCAAATGAACCCGGAAACCATGGATTGGTTCAAAGCCAATGCCAAAGGCTTGTATAAAGGGTATGAAGGAACTCCTTTCAAAATATCTGCACCATTCCGATTTGAAATTTTATATATATATATATATATATATATTATACTTCTATATAGACTTGTCCAACGACTTGACGATCGTACGAGCCCGAAGATCGCTCAATATGCAAGAGGAATTAAACAAATATATTAGCCCCAAAAGTGGGTTTGGAAAAAAATAAACACATTCAAATTGAGCCAAACTTAAATTCCAACATGTAAGGCTCGAGTATAGTCCAGCCAATAGCATCTCTATCAAATAAACCCTAAACCATTACTATAATAACCAACATCCTCGGCAGGGATGTGTTTTTTTGGCCCTTTTTTTTCTTGAAGCAACCAAAAGTTGAAGAATAACAGCGAAACTTAAGAATTTGAAGTTATAAAAACCAAAAAGAAATTAGAAATAAGGTTTGGATAGTGTTACCTGGATTGGGATCGGTGGCGTCAGTGTGGAGGAGGAGATTAGAGCAAAAGTGGTGAGAAAGTTGGAGTTCAAAATTGAGGGATTTGTTAATGTGAGCTTGGAGAGTGAACTTTGTTAATTCTTCCATGCATTCCCCTAATCTCTTCATTTCTCTGTATTTCCTTGTTAATTTGATAATTTCTTCTATTTTCTTGTTTCACGAAAGTTTTCGATTTTCGTTTGCACACAACTGAGCTGCTCGCTTCAAATTCGAAACTCAACACCCAACAGGCAATCAATATGAAAATATAGGGTAACTTCTACATACGGTCACCCCAACTTCCTTAAACATTCATTTTGGTTACTAAAAAAAATATTGCACATTAGGCGCCACCGTTAGGCTCTGTTTGCATTTTAGTCCTACGCATTAAATCCATTACAAGATTAGGGATGACCGTAAGACTCAGATACAACAAGTTCTTATTGGATCCAACTATACAAGATTTTTTTTTTTAAAAAAAAAGAAAATTAAATTCGAGTCAATTCGAATTTTTGAAATGATAAAATCAGGTTAAGTTTAAAAATATCATCGGTCCGACCGGATATCTTGATTTTAAGAACCGCACTTAAAGCATATAGGGTGCGTTTGGTTCACGGAATGTAAGATTACCAGTGGGAATAAAAGATTACCATGGAATAGGATTACTGGGAATGTTACATTACTGTGTTTGGTTAGTTTGGCAGGAATGTAAGATTACAGTGTTTGGTTGAAGGAATAAAAGATTACTTGAATGTATATTTTATCAAATTGTCCTTGGTCTATATTTTTTAACAAGTGAAATTCTAAATATTTAAATAAAAATTATTTATATAAAAATTATATCTGTTGATAATATATTACTCGAGTATTTAAATATATATCATGTATTATTTTTATTTTAATTAATATTAAATTTTATATAATTTATGTAAAAATATATTAAAATTTTACATCAATATTTAACTAAATATTTACACTGTAGAAACTAGCTTCGGTTTATACGTGACGCATTCACTGGGAGGTTTCTTGTATTTTTCAATCGAATAGGTTTACATTCTAGTATGAAAAGTGATTTAATATGACTTGAGGAATGATTTAATATGAAAAGTGAAGAAAAAATTATAGTATACATGATGTATTAAGTTAATTTCACTCGAGGAAATTTTTACAGTCAACGACATTAATCTTAAATGTTCCTTTTAACTGTAATTTTTTCCCTTTGAACTTTTAATCAAAGAAAAGATATCTATAAATATATCACTTATAAGAGATCAAATACAAAATCTACTTGAACATTCAATTTTCAATAGCTTACAAAAACAAATATCATAAATTCAGTGCTTCTAATTTTTCATATCGATGATTAATTTTTCATTGTTGGATTCTTTCGATTTACAAACATCACCTATAAAACCTCAATAGATTGTGTCAAATTGACAGCCTTTAAAACCTCAAATGCATATTGAACATGCTACATTTAAGCAATAGCATCATTCATACTAAGCTGCTGTAAATATCGATTCAAGATTATCCTTTGTTTTCTCAATTCATAGGAAAACATAAACGACATAACAATCACATTTAAGGTCAAATTATAAAAGAGTTGTTCAATTGTGGCACAACTTCATCAGTCAAAGCCTCTAAATGACCGACCACCACAATCCGAGAGGCCCGTCACACCGAAAATGAGTTTCATAAGATTCTAGATCAAGAGCTTCTCAATAGCATCCTACATTTCACAAATGGAAAAACAGAAGATGCAGATGCAGATGCAGCCAAAAAGGGTGCAAAATATCATTAATTTTACAAGGTAACAAAAGTACCTTGAGTTGTTGTATTTGGGATTTCAATTGGCTTCCTTCGTTTGTTGTGACAAAACAGGAAATTACAGGTCTTGTGACCCCACATGCTCGTCCAAGTGCTTGCTTTGAAGGAACAAATACATAGGGGACATTCTGCAAAAAATCAAATACAAAGTAAACTATTGTGCTCAAAATCTAGGTAATGAATCAAGGTGTTGTAGCTAAGATTTTGCTTCTATGATGAACTACTTTAAATTGAGAAGTCAAGATGATGTGATATAGGAATGCTTCCAAGCTCAAGAGGGGGAAACAATTTACATTAAACAAAGTGTATAACCTTAAGTCAAAGATGCTTCAAATTCACAGCTAGTGAGTACACCATTGATTTGAAGCAATAAAATCAGACACTCCATAAGACAATTAGTCAAACCCTAAACCCAAAGCTAAATATTACAACAGTGATACGACTAATTAAAACGTTAAAGTTGGGGCACAGAACAACACATACAACAACCATAAGCACATCAACAAGAAATACATATACCACTCATAAGTACTAAACAAAAGAGGAGAAGACTCCAAAACTGCTGAAGATCATATGTCTTCGTAAATTACAGTTGAGTTTGGCAACTAGAAGCAAGTTTGCAGCTTGATATGGTAGTTTTCCCACATTATTATGTGAGGTACACAATTCAAATAGTGCAGGCAAAGTATAAACTTACATTCTATCCCATTCAATCAAGCAATTCAACTTGCCTAACTTTGCATCCACGTAAATTTTAAAACAACTAAAATACCACTTAGCAATAACTTTTCCTAGTGTAAACCCACATATTAAACAAGAATTAAGCAATCAAAAAGTCTATACCAGAAAAAACAAAAAGAAAATATGCATATTCCATAGAACAAATACCTTATCTTCAGCAAGCAAAGGAAGGTTGAGCAGAATCTCAAGGGGCTCAGTATCCGCAGCCATCACAACGAACTCCGAGATACCTCTGTTCAGGGTCTTGGTAGCTGAATCCCAAACAAATCCAATTAAAGAAGAAAAAGAAATGAAGAAGAAGATCAGGAGAAAGAAAACCCATATCGGAAACGATAACAATAATTACAATAAACGAAAAAAATGGAAATGTGTATTGTTTACTAACCTTCATTAACTCCCTTTTTGAGCTGCTTGTTGTACAAGATCTAAAATCGTCGTTGTCAACTGATCATCCGCTAGTGGGTATGCTTTGGGGTTCACACGTTCTCCAGTCTGCAAAAAATATCAGCCAATTGTAAGGTATAACAAACTAGATGAGCTCAGAAACAGGTTTAGTCGTGCAAAAAGCTGATGTATTATTTTAGGCCTCGAAATTAAAGGATGAAAGTTCAAACTTGAAAATAAGATAACCAAATCAGGAAAACCAGACACTCATTTAAGACAAGTATTTCTGAAAGCAAAGCAGACATGAAATGCCATGACTCCAACTGATAGTTTTACAAATTAAAGGTGAAGAGAAGCGAAATGCAGGAGTGTACCAACCAGAAACATAAAGGGCAATGATCAAATTCACACTTGTATAGTTGTATTCTATTACCATTAAAGAAAAAGAAGAACACATTGGAGCATGCAAACTACCTATTTAAAAGGGAAAGAAAAATTCCAGATCAAATCAATGAAAATCACATTCTACATAAAAATTTCTCAATCATGCTAATGTAATATTGTTACCCTATTGTATAACCAATTATCAGTAATATATTATACCAAAATACCCAGATCTACTTGTAAAATTTTCAAAACATACGGAGGAAAGCTGAAAAATGCCTCCAAAATTTAATATAATAAGAGCAAAAACACGAATTTTGGTATAATAAAAGAAGGAAGAAATGTCGCAAAGGAGAAAAGATGAAGGTTGTTACATGAACAAGGAAGCGGTGAGGACAAGACCAATGGCGAGCATGAAGACGGCTAGGGTTGGATACCACGCATCAGACACTGGACTCGTTATTGGCTTTGCAGAAGGAGCCTGAAACAAAATCATAAATCATAAATCAAACTCAAACGAACAATAGAAAAGCTTCGATTTGAACAGTGAGAGATTTACCATGGATCTTTTGTCGCTTCGGATTCTGGTGTTTGATCGAAGAGAGTGGAAATAACGCGCTACTAAGAGGTTCCGAGTTCTATGAGACTACGAAGTCTACGAAGCCTGCAAGTCTTCCCTTGTATTTGAGACTACATTAGCTTAAAAAAATAAGAGAGAGCCATTACCATTTTTCTCTTGGAGAAAACAGAGGAAAATAATCTGAGAAGAAGGGAAAGGGTGTTTACTCCAAACTACGCTCGGTCATAATCAGGAAGGAGAAGGGTATTTTAGACAAGAGAACCGGGAATAAGTAAATACCTAAGAGAGATGAGGGTATAACATTCCCGGAAAAATAAGAAAAAAAATCACTGTTAGTAATTATTATTTCCCTCCACTTAGGAATATAATTTATCTAAACATGGGAATGTTTATCTAAAAAAAAAATTACCAACATAAATTAAATATGACCTGAACCATACAGAGTCATAGTGTTCATGGGCGCATAAAAAACGCTTTTAAAGTTAGAGGTGAAACGAGAAACGAGAAACGAGAAACGAGAAACGAGAAACGAGAAACGAGAAGCTCTCCAAAGTGATCGCTTTTGAAGCTTTTTTGGGAGGCGCAGAACGCACCACTTCGACAACTTTCATGCCCCACCTTTTCTGCTATTTCTTTATACTAATAGAACAGAGATAATATCTAACATAATCAACATTATATTGTGGTCTATGCCCTCTCACCTTTTCTATTCTTTCTTTATATTAATGTTTTTAAAATTGGACCGAATATTGAATCGGTGAAGATACTAGTTTACTGATTCACGGGTTTAACTACGGTTGAACCGAATTTTATATAAAATAATATTTTTTTTAATTTTACATAATATTCAAAGCAATATTAATATATATGTAACACTTTTTTTAAGTTTACAATATTAAAATGTATAAAAATATCACAAGTCATAACATATATAACATAAAATCAAGTTAAACAAAATGATTCAAATCAACTACAACATAATATTTAAGGTAAAACATATTAAATAATAAATATAATTATATAACTATAATTAAAAAAATAAAATTAAGGCTTAAAAAAATCATAACAAATGAAGTCATTTGGTTTAATTTTAAAAAAAAAAAAAACAATCTCACATGGCTAAGAAACTTAGAAGAGCATCCCAAAAGTTTAAAAAGAGTAAAAATATGAGAACAAAACAATCCCACATGGCTAAGAAACATAGAAGAACATCCCAACTTACTTCTATAAATAATAGAGGTAATTTGACATTCAAAATCATGGAGCCTTTTGGTGAGCACAGAGCGAACTATTCTTTAGCTTCAATTGAGCTCAAA